AAGCGGAGCCTCCGGCGCGACGGAGAGTACCTGCGAGGGGCACTGCCCGGCGGGCTAGGTTGGCACGCCCGAAGCACGCGCGGGCAAGGGGGCAGCCGGGGAGGAGTTGGGGGTTATTTAGAGCCGGGGTTCCCCAGCTGCAGACCTTGGAGCTCTCTGAGCTTGGAGACGTTTCGTTCCCCGACTAGGTCACACCATCAGTGCCAGGGAGTGTGGGGTTGGCTCCCTGCTTATATGCCGCGGCGTGCCCCGCCAGTGTCGCTGGGAGCGTGGTTTTCTCCTTGGCGGCTCCTCGATTAGGGTATCGTTCTCTGCTTGGCTGTTTGTCCGGTGTTAATCCCTACTTGGCGCTGACGGGGCAAGCTACTGTATATAAACAGGGAGCAACCCCCCCATTCACACGCGCTGAAGATGTTACCTAGTCGGGTAGTAAAACGTCTGCGAGCCAGCCACCGAGCGCACCAGGGACTCCACAGTCCAACCCTGAGCTACAGATAGTCCGTGCTGTTGGTTCCTAAACGCTTTGCTCTCAGGACCCCTTCCCACTTTTACAAACTAGGGAAGACCCCAAAAGAGCTTTGGTCAGTAAGGGTTATATCGATGGATATTGACGGTATTAAAAAATGAAAATGAATAATAAACAAAATAAACAAAAATTCATAGAATGTTTGTTTATTGAATCCTGTAAAAAGAACGAGAGGAAACCCATGAAATATTAAGAGGAATGCAATATTTTTCATGGGAAAAAACCCTATATTTTGTTAACACGTAAAACATAATAATGAGAAGCGGGACATTGTTTTACAGTTTTGCAAGTATCTTCAATGTCTGATTTCAATTTTGAGGACCCCAGAGGGGGACCCGCAGGGGTCCTAGGTCCACCCTTCAAGAAACATTGATTTAGACAAATGCTCCCTTTGTGTGTTGAAGATAGCGGCCTGGCTGTGTGAACTAGCCGTGCAGTGTTAATCTGGTGATAATTTTGTGTGTCTTGCCAGGAATGCTGGACTTGGGGCTCTTTGTGTTTTTGAAGCAGAACATTTTCTTCTGCTTCTGATTCAGTTAAGTCTGCTGTGTGATCATTGCCCTAAACTGGGTTCACGCCTCACACTGAGCCACAGTTTACTTAATTGTGATTCCTTGGATAAACCACAATTAATTGGGATTATGTTAACATGCTAAGCCGGAATCGAACAAATCATTATGGGGTAGGGAAGATTGTGTACCAGGTTCATCTGTGGTGCTAAACCAGTTAAGATTGACTTAGATTTATTGAGTAAATTATTATTATTTGTTATTTTATTGGATTTGAAGGTCACCTTAACTCCAACATAGGACATGGGACTCAGTTTTAATTGTCTAACACAATGTTTTTCAAACTTGGCAACTTTAAGATGTGTGGCCTTCAACTCCCAGAATTCCCTATGCTGTACAGTTTTGTCTGTTAAATATTAGCTCTTAACTGGGGAAGACTTACAAAGCTCTCCTCAAGGAAGGCAGGTGGAATGAGTCTATTCTTAGTGATATCTTCTGCTCCCCAAAATAGGGACCCAGCTGCCTTTAAATCTTGAGGATCATCACTGGCCTCTTCCATGAATTCCTCTAATCTTCCCTTGAAGTTGATTAAAGACAGTCCACGTTGGTTACATTAGCTGGCCTCCAGGAGGTAGAACATGGACTTGCCTGTCATGGTCCCACCTTACTAGAAAATTCCAGACCCTTTTCCTTTCTGTCTTGTTAGAAGAATGCCCGGGAAGTGGTGGCCATCAAGTGCGTGAGTAAGAAGAATCTGAACAAGGCCTCTGTTGAAAACCTGCTGACGGAGATCGAGATCCTCAAGACTATTCGGCATCCCCACATTGTGGAGCTGAAGGACTTCCAGGTACACAGCAGAAGGGGGAAATGTGGCCGATCTGAGGTTGAATGCGGTTAGAAGAAAGCTGGTTGGCTTGAAACCCTAAGTCTTCACCACCACCATCCCCAGCTTGTTTTTAATGTTAGGATGCCTGGGTTCACATATGTCCTAGGCCCTAGTTTGCTTAACCACCTGGGATGTCCTAGGCCCTAGTTTGCTTAACCACCATTTATGGAACAAACCACAACAGTTACGATGGCTGGTGTGGGTCTTCCGGGCTGTGTGGCTGTGTTCATGAAGTTTTGTTTCCTAACGTTTCGCCAGCACCTGTGACCAGCATATCTCCAGTTAAGTGGCACAAAAGCCACTTCTCAAATTTAAAACAAGGACTTACACATTTAAACAAGAATAATATGTTTTTGTACCGATAAAGGAACGGCAGCCATTTCCATGACTAAGCTAGTTGGAGCACCACCTCCTGAGATTGATGGTGCAATTCTGCCCACATTTATTCAGCAATAAGTCCCAGGCTTGCCACCTGGGACGAGATATCACTCAGCTTGCCTCCATAAGGACTAGGAACTTGAATAAAGAGGGTGGCTTGATGGGGATGGGAAAGAAGATGTGCTTCTGATAAACTTGATTTTTTTTTTATTTTCTTCTCTTTTAGTGGGACAAGGAGTACATCTACCTGATCATGGAATATTGTGCTGGGGGTGATCTGTCCCGCTTCATTCATACCCGGAGGATTCTCCCAGAAAAGGTGGCTTGTATATTCCTACAGCAACTGGGTGAGGAACAAGGAAAGAAATAGGGTAAAACTCATTAGTGAGAGCATTTATTATACGGGCCAGAAACCTGGTTCTTCTTTTGGCCGTCATTCAGTGGGAGAACCCATAGTTTTCTCCACTGAAGCTGGGTTCGTACCAGATTGGGAGAAAGCAGGGCTGTCAGTTTGAGGTTCACCATGACATGGGAATCCGGTTGTTCTAGAACCAGGCCATATTCAGCTTTAGAATATGGTTAGAACAGTGTTTCTCAACCTCAGCAACTTTAAGCTGGGTGGACTTCAACTTCCCAAATTTCCCCGCCCCCCTCTGGCGGTTGGGGAGTGTTTGTGGTGTGTGTCAACAAACTCAAAGTTTTTT